TAGTATTGCTAACTACTTATATAACATTTTTAGACGATTCGTCGATGGATTTATCATCTACATTTCTATAAAGCCAATGTATTTCTTTTAATTTTCTTAGTGCTGCTTTTATGTTATTTACATCAACTAAACTACGCCTGACATTACTTGATTTATTAGGCTGTCCATTAATAATAATATAAAGTTCTGGAGTAGGCAAATGATGAGAATCTATACCAACGTCATTTAAAGTCTCTATTGTTTTTTTTAATGGAAGAGGTAAATAAAACATTGCACCTTTAAGAGCCTTCAAAGTATTATAGGTGGGCACTTTGAAGGTCTGTGTGCATAGTCTAACTATTGTCTGAATACACTTGGCCCTCTGTATTAACTGGCAACTAAAAGGATCCAAATTTTCCAATTCTATGGGTAATGGCTCACCCTTCAACCCATTGAGCACACAAAGTGCTGGAACTTCATTTTTCTTAATAATTCGTTTACAATGATTACAAATATACATAACTTTATTTAATGCTGTAGGATCAGTCTTTCTAATGTAATCTAATAGGATATTCCAAACATCGCTATCTTAATTTTTAGCTTCAGTGACAGATTTTTTTCTTAAAAGCCTCTCACAGCTACAACATGCATTAACTGCCTGATCAGACAAAGCTTTCTTAAATTCATCAATAGCATCTGAATACTGAAAATAAAGTACAGTATCTAAGTTTTGGTATTCTAAATGGGTCATCTTCGCCATCATTTATAGCGTAATACACATCAAATTTAGTCTCATCGGATTCATTAATTTTTAAATGTATCATTTGTGCTATATCGCCTTCAGCAAAGGAAGAATTAATATCTATTGTTAAATGGGCATTTCTAGAAACATAAGTGTTTCAAAAGGTGTCTCAACAAAGGATAATAAACAGATGCATTGCGTAACATACTCAGCATGCTTTTGCAATCAGTATCAATACTACTACACACAATAGGATGGCCTATTCTTTCACAAACAATTTCTGAATATTTTAAATATTTTTCAACATTATTTTCATCTTTTTTAACACTTACCGTTACATGACATTAGGATTATCAGAGAAATCATGTTCATGTACTTGATCTATTTCTTCAACATGCAGGGAGGGATCTTGTCATATATTGCTTATTAGGACAATTGTCACATGCATCTAAATGCATCCTCAATTCTTTAATGGGTTCATCAAAATATTGTCTAACTTCAATAATAGAACTATTGTCACTTTCTAATAAAGGCTTGCACCTGTCTGTACAGTGCCATTTGAGGTTAGGCTTTCTCTTATTGGTATACATTCTATTATCGTCAAAATTGTCATCTACAGAATCACTATCATCATTACATTCTTCTACTCTATCAATACAAGATACATTAACAACCCCTGCTACATAACAGATGCCATTTGTATCAAGAGGGATTGCAATTGGACTATCTAATTGACTATCAAAATCATTATTAGGATACATATATGCTGATTCATAAAAATAAGGCTCACTATTCATTGTATGACATTGCTTACAAAAATCACTAAAGCTATTTAACTTTAATTTCCTAATGCTATTTGCTGCACGTATCAATACGC